AGAAACATCGATCAGCTGCCTCCTGCACACCCCCTACTGGGGATGTGCCCGCAACCAAGGTACATGCCCTTGACCAGAATCGAACCTGGGACCTTTCAGTCTGCAGGCCGATGCTCTATCCACTGAGCCAAATCGGTTAGGGCGGGGCCCAGTCTTTGGAATGTGCAGGCTGTGGACAATCAACTAAGTTACTTCTTTAAGGAACATCCTTTCATTGAAATAATTAACTTAATACAGTTGATTCCTAGTGAAGCTTGACTCCAGTACTTATCAGACCTACTTTACTCCTAATTTAAAGCACTATTGAAAGTAATACTTTCCTTTCATTGCATTTTTTAAAACATTGACAGCCTTCATGAAATGTCTGGCAATAGCAGCTTTGTACTTAAGTGAACAGGGTGTTATAATGAACAAAAAGAATCTATATTAGTTTCCTATGGCCACTGAAACAAATTACCATAAACTTGGTGGCTTAAAACAACAGAAACCATTATCTCACAGTTCTGGTGACGAGAACTCTAAAAGCAAGGTGTCAGAGGCTCTGGGGCAGGGGAGGAGGGAGGGGACCTTTTTTCTGCCAAGGGCCATTTGAATATTTATAACATCATTCATGGGCCAAACAAAATTACCAACTTAAAAATTAGCCTGAGGTGGGAGGGGGGGGCAGGTAAGGGGGCGAGATCAATCAAAGGATTTGTATGCATGCATATAAGCATAACCAATGGACACAGACACTAAGGGAGTGAGGGCACGAGCGGAGGGGTGGGGGGGCAATGGGGGAATAAGGACATACCTTAATCAATAAAGAAAAAAAATCTGCAAATAAAAAACAAATTATCCTGCTATATTTGGTCAAACATTTCATTAACTCACCCCTAATGCCTTGGCAGGGCCAGACCAAATGATTTCAAGGGCCTTATGTGCCTGGGGCCAGACATTCCCCACCCCTGCTCTAGGGGGAAAATTCATTCCTTGCCTTTTATCCCTTCTGGCTGCTGACAGCATTCCTGGGCTGGTGGCTGCATCACTCAATCTCTGTCTTAATGGCCACATTGCCTCTACTTTTCCTTTATCATTTCAATAGGGTCCCAACCATATAATCCAGGAAAATTTCCCTATCTCAAGATGCTTAACTTAATCACATCTGCGAAGACCCTTTTTCTGCCATATACAGTAATCTTGATAGATTCCAGGGACTAGGATATGGGTATCTTTGGGGGAGCCATTTTTTTCAGCTTGCTTCAGTATCTTTCGGAGATTTCTAAGATCTGGAAAAAATTAAATTGCTTAGATTTAGTACCAAACATTTTTTAGAATTGCTTATGATAAGCTACTTAGGATTCATTAGGCTAAAATGAAATATGGTACATTAAAAATGGAGAACTGTTATAGCACAGTGCCAGAACTAATGATTTGAATAAAAACACATGAAAAGGAAGTGAGGAAATAAGCAGGAACTTATATGATGACTAGACCTTCCCATGAAAAATGAAGGAGATAGTTAAGGAAAGTATTCAGCTAATCCAAGACTGCGTGGTGGGGTGCAGAGATGGGGTGAGATTGGTGAGGAGGAAAAACAATTTTACAAACCTATAAAATTGTGTGCCAGCCATAGCCGGTTTGGCTCAGTGGATAGAGTGTCAGCCTGCGGACTGAGGGGTCCCAGGTTCGGTTCCAGTCAAGGGCATGTACCTTGGTTGCGGGCACATCCCCAGTGGAGGGTGTGCAGGAGGCGGCTGATCGATGTTTCTCTCTCATCGATGTTTCTGACTCTCTATCCCTCTTCCTTCCTCTCTGTAAAAAATCAATAAATATATTTTTTAAAAATAATAAATATAAAATAAAAAAATTGTGTGCCAGACCTTTAAGGGTTTCCATAATTCATCCCCACTCTATTTGTCCAACCTTATTTCCTATCATTCTCCAGCATATGCCCAGAGTGGGTATAGTTAGACTAGGAAACCATTCTTTAAAATCTAGAAGTTAGCCCTGGCCAGTGTGCTCAGTGGTTAGAGCAGTGGCCCTCACACCATAGCATTGAGGGTTCGATTCTCAATCAAGGGCACATACTTGGGTTGCAGGTTCAATCTCCAGCCCCACTTGGGGGACATGGGGGAGGCAACCAATCCGTGTGTCTCTGTCATTCTCATGTTTATGTTTCTCTCTGTCTCTCTGTCTCTCCTCTCTCTCCCTCTCTCCCATCTACTCTCTCTAAATATCAATGGAAAAAATATCCTTGGGTGAGGATTAACAACAAAAACAAAAAATCTGGAAGTTAAACCAGGAAAAAAAATCACATCTTTCACTTGTGTCCTAATTTCCAGCATCACTAAACAGACAGCAGTGTTGAGTTCAGTGTAAAGTAAGACCAGCTTTGGTGTAGACCAAGCATGTCAAACTCATGGCCCGCGGGCCGCACGTGGCCCACAATGAATATTTTTGCAGCCCAACCAATACAACGGTATATAAGAAACGTTTTAATAAAAATTTCGTAACTTAATTTTTACAATATCCTGTTATACATAATTATTAATCTCGAACTACAACTTTCGCTAATAACTAATTACTATAATCGTGTTGCATTCATTTCCCTTACGCTCTTTATGCACAGGCGCACCATTTCTCTCCACTAATACTAGCAGTGAATATTTTAGCAGCCGATTACCTTGTCATTAGTCTTGTACTGACTTGTTTGGTGTGCGCAACAGGAAATATTTCGCTTTCGGAGAACAAGAAAAACAGGTTCATTTGCGTTATGCTTATTAATTTGTGCACTTATTCAGTATCTGGTAAGTTAATGTTCAAGAAAAAATATTAATTTTTATTAAAATATTCTATTATTTTATGTTAATGATTACTCATTTATTTCAACCCTTTGTGTTCAGCATGTCTCTATCGAAATAAACATACATTCCTATGAAAATTGAAGCTTTTGCTTTTTTGCAGCCTACATAAACTTAAACCTTATTTATTTGCCCCGTGTTAGCCTTTGAGTTTGACATGCATGGTGTAGACCAGCCGTGGGCAAACTATGGCTCGCGGGCCGGATCTGGCCAGTTTGAAATAAAAAAAACTAAAAAAAAAAAAAAAAAAAGACCGTACCCTTTTATGTAATGATGTTTACTTTGAATTTATATTAGTTCACACAAACACTCCATCCATGCTTTTGTTCCGGCCCTCCAGTCCAGTTTAAGAACCCATTGTGGCCCTTGAGTCAAAAAGTTTGCCCACCCCTGGTCCACACCTTGGGGAACCCCTGGACCTGCTGGGGTTGGACATGAACAATTTATTATACATT